TCACTTTCTGCTTTGGAGTGTAGGTGGTTATCTTAATCTCCATGTATTCACAGCCTGTGCTCTTGCCTTATCAGCAGTCTGAAGCTTGCATGCTCAATCGTCTGATTTGTCAAGGGTGACTCCAAAAGATTCTGAAAGGCTCTCCACAAATCACCCAGTTGATCTAAAATATCGACCAGCCACCAAAAGTCATTACACACAATAATGGCGGGCGGGACCTTGAAGATGTGACTTAATTAGGTTTCAAATGGTTTCAAAAATGCCTTCAAATCTTCTCCCCTAGAGAATAAAAGGCTCTTGGCTTTTTCTCAGTGATTACAGGTGTAGAAAGAGAGATATACAGACAATGAAAATGCCACTACTCCCCTGGAAAGTGGTAACAATGCCAAATTAGACAGAGATTAATATGTATTTTTTATCTACACTTCTGCTGCTGTTTAGTGTTGTGCAACATCAGGTTTGGTTTGGCTATGAATAACTATTAATAGGTGCTAAAGACAGTTATTTACAAAACTTGTAAATTAGATAAAAATTGCCAAGTCAAGGTGATTTATTAGGAAATATTGGCTGAATAGTTTTCAGTTGTTGTTTTTTCTGAATACCTGAATGATGATGTGTGGGTATTAAATAACAGATGCAGTTAATTTTGAAACTGATACTCAAATAGCATGCCCTGCCACATATATCATGTGGCCTGTCCCAGAAACTACGACTGAAAATATGCCTATTTGGCTCAACTGCAATATTTACAGAAATTTTGATCATGTGCACTCTCTTTATTTTAAACAAAAATAAACTGAATAAAGAAAGACAACTTCTTTATGAAATATAAAAAAATTACTAACAGAAATACCTTGGCTTCTAGTTAAAATATGTCACTCAAACAAGGCCAGTAATGGTCAACTAAATTACTACTAAACCACTTTTGGGGAATTTTGAATGTGATCAAATTAGCTCAAAAGTCAGGGGTGGGACATATGATGTACTTTACAGGCCCAATGTGCCATTTTATAGCACAATCAAGTTGTTTTATTTACCTAGGAAAAAGCTGCATGTCACAACTTCCACAAATTTTGACCTCGTAAACTCAAGCTTTAAATTGGCTATTTAAAGCTTAAGATGCTACTACTCTTTCAGTTCCATGTTTACACACTTTGCTTTGTTTACACTTCTCGTTGTAAATACCTGATTATATAGTGATTTTCTTAGCATTAGCATTAAGTCAGGTCAAGTTCATTGGCATATCAAATTTAAGCAACTCAGTAGTTCAAAATGTTTTACAAAATAAAAACATCAGACAGTCATCAATTATGAAACAAGCAATGAACACTACATTTGTCATATCAAAACCATTAAATACACATGAAATATGTTGATCAAAGATTCACTTACTAATCAAAAGCAACTATGAACATGTGTGTTTAAATCCTCATTAAAAAAATCAGATGTTTTGCAGTTTTATGGAATGTTTATGGATGTTCCAGATTTGTGCTGCAGAGAATATGTACCTATTGACACGCAAAAATGATTGTTCTTTATGTCAGATTAGAACCAATTGAATACTGAACTGGAGATTAATACCCAGCTCTGCAATTGTTTCAGTAATATGTCATGGTCAGTGATGTCAACTGCTGCACTGAGGTCCAATATGACTGTGGTTCATCCGGTGTGTATTTAAGGGGATGTCACTGAACACTTTGAGTGGGACAATCTCAGTTACAACAGAGATTAAAGTTGGAACAGTAGATTTACATCTGCTGTGTTGTCTGTGAAGGAATTTTCTATAATAGTAACTGTCTTGCTAAGTAAGTCAACAAATGAAAGAAATGATCCGACAGGACATCAATTGCAGAGACCTTGGAAATATTCACACCCTTGCTGATAATCAAATCCACCAAGGGTTTGATGACATACTGGCCACATTGAGGCCACTATGTGGCCTTAATGGTGTGTTTCCCTACTTATTAAGTTGAGTCAGACCAATGTTTTCAAGTATATCATACAGATTATTTGGCACTTCTGTCTTCAGGTTTCTCAGCATGGTTAATGAAGCACCTAACAGGCAAAAGCTCACTAAAGTAATTGAAAAATGTTCCACATATTTTTGGGTTTTGTACAAAATTAGTGTCAGAGCTTGTTTATGGTCTTTTACCTTGATTTCCAAATATATAGCCCCACTTTAAAAGTTACCTTAAAGGCTCACTTCAGTGCTTGTTTTCCATGCACTGAAAACAGTCGTTGCTGGATCCAATGTTGTAAGATGGTGTTGAGGAGAATACGTTAGCCTCTTGCTGCCTAGCATCCGAGCGTCAAACCCCACTTCAGCTAGTGGCCTGTTCAAACTGAGCAGCCTGCAGTAACCAAACTTCACCTATTGTACTAACTGGAATTGGGCTGAATTCTTTTAGAAGTATGGAAAAATACATTTCTGGGATTTTGTATATTTTATGGTCAAAGCAACAAATTAAAACTTCTTTTTTTTTTTTTTTTTTTTTGCTTTTTTTCTTTGTTTGAGCACTGCAATCACAATTTATCACCATGAAGAACTCTTTAAGGTGACAATATCTATAATCAAGTTTTCACAACTTTCATTAAGATTTTAATTGCTTTCGCTTAGCACGTACAAAACACAGTAAGAAATCCAACAAAACAAGAAAGGTACATAAATTGCAAAAATCCCAAAATTATCTTACTTAAAACTGTAGCTGAGTGAACTTTTTAAATGTAATAATTTTGCACGGAGGCAGAGAGAGAGGCTCAAACCACATGACAATCCTTTTGCTGGGTTGATCCATGTGTTTTTTGGTTTAAAAATAGATTTTTCCCCAATTGGGCAGATCTATGTAGCCACAAAAATGTAATTGGAAAATTCCTCATCTTGTTCTTGACAAAACCTGTGAAACTTCTTGAATCCAACAAAATAAAAAAACCCAAGGTGAAGCAGCAGTCTTAAGAGTAAATCCAAATTCTGAAACCTCAATCTTTTTCTTGTTGGTTGGCCTCATGGCCAAGTCTTCACGATCTCTTCTCCTGATGTGGACATGAAGAATGTCCCCGAGGCAGAACCCTGAATGTTTCCGAGTGCTTCCGCTTCATACTTTTCAGGGGCGATGCCTACATGACTTTTTATTTTTGCATGAAACAAAAACTCATCCCTTTTTACTCTGTCTTTTATTGGAGCTGAAGCAATTGCAGAAGAGTCTCCCTATCACCACTTCTGTCCAAAACATCTTTCCCTTTTCTTTCATCACATCTGAGTCATTTTTGGTTTCTCAGATGTGAGAAACCAAAGTTAGAGAGAAGTTAAAGAGATAATTTCTCTCTAACTTTAAGAGAAGTTATCATTTGCAATCATAACTTCTCTTAAATGATTGTATTTCACATCACTTCCCAATTGTTGTTATCATTGTTGAATATTAAGACGTTACTTGCAATTGTAGCATTCTGTTCTCCAGAGTTATCAAAAATAATTTGACTGCTTACAATTATAACTTGTCAATTACATAACCCATACAGCTTATATCAACTTTTCATTGTTATAAATTTTTCATGTTTACAACTTCTTGTGATTGGTGTGGAGAATTATCTGTTCTCCAAGCCGAGGTCTTGATGTATGAGGTTGAAGAAAATGAGTTGAATTCACCAGTTAACCCTAACTAACCCTAACCCTAATTCCATTTGTTAATACCAAAATACAGATGGCCCGTTTCTCATGCTGCTTTTAGAAGCTAGAAGGACCAAATGGCATCAAGCAACAGTTTGTAATTCTATTTGTTAGTCTCTATTTTTGATAAATCCCTAGTGTGTCATTTCCTTTAATATTAGCTTTGAGGGTGTTTTCTAACATGTCATTTCCTTTAGCTTTAGCTTTACAACTAGCTAAAAGAGACAGACAAAACCGCATAACTGCTCCCAACATTAGACACAGAAAGAAGAAGATTAAAGCATTAGCTTAGCATCTTCATGGTTTGTACTCAAGTACAAACCAAGCCCTGTTGGTTTTTTTATCTTTCCTTGTCTTACTAGTTTGAGTTGACTTCTAAAATCCTAACAAAAAACTGGTTCTACAAACTGCCTTCTGTCTAAAAGGGCCTATAGACAAATGTCTCTGTTAAATCTAGCAGTTTTCTCATAATTGCAAACAAATTTAGATGACTAACAATATGCTGCCTCTACTTCTGTAAACTAAACTCTGTCACTGTTGAGCCTGAATTTAGTTACCAACTAAAATCATAAAACCCTTAAGTTAAACTAAACACATCAAATCTGGCCTTATTTCCTCAAATATTTATTTCTTACACTTGTCCCCACTTTGGGATTGCGTCATCCTAATATCAAATTTCTCCATATCCTTACAATACACTTGTGTTTGAGTGTCTTATAAGGAAGGTTATAAAGGTATGATCTATATATATAAGAGATTTAAGAAATGAATAAGCTCAATGAATGTTAAAATGATTACTTTCTACAATAATCTGTAAAGAAGAAAACTTTTTAATTATTCGGAGTAGGATGAGTAAATATTCTTTAATTTTAATACATGAGGAGAATATTTTAACACAGCCGCACCTGAAGTTAGTGATTATACAATCGCCGACTTATTTTCACTCAAGATTTTCACACAAGAAAACACCTGAACACTTGCTCATTAGCTACATTGAGATATTATCTTAATGTTAGTTATTTTAAAAAAGGGGAGGGATCTTTTGAATCTCAGGTATTTTGACCCACACTCATCTCCTTCAGATTATATATCTCTTTTAAGCAAACTTAAGCAGATAGAAAGCACATAGAGGTATGGACTCTATATTAACATTCTTTACAAGCAAATTATATGTTTTTCTACAGACAAGCTGAATGTTCCTCAATGCAAAGGGTTCTGTAGGACTGATGTAGCCAGATTGAGTTCTAGGATTGAAATAAAATATGTAAACTTTTTTTTTTCTTTGGTCAATAAGACCATTAACATTCTTTCTTCCACATCACGTGTCTCCTTACAGAAAACAAAGATCTCTACATACGATAAGATGTGGGAGTTTATGAGCAGTCGGAGGCACTCAGTAATGGTGAAGAATATTGAGGAAGGGATTCACCGTGTACTCACCTCTGACTACGCATTTCTCATGGAGTCTACGACCATCGAGTTTGTAACCCAACGCAACTGCAACCTCACACAGATTGGAGGCCTTATTGACTCCAAAGCTTATGGGGTTGGAACACCAATGGGTATGTACATCAAATGTACAGTGCATGTCTTGGTGAGGTAAAATGTAAGTTTGTGTTTTTTTTCTTGATACTTGTTGAAGTAATTTATAGGATGTACACCAAATTACTATCAAAGCTCTATCATTCCTCTGGGAGATATTAGAAAAAGTAAAACAAACAAGAGAGAATTTTCATCTCCTTGGAATTAACATATCCCAATATTTTGGAAAGTTATTTGACCACAACTATTGTCCTCTAAATGTGAGAAATAAATCAGATATACACCAGTGAAATGTGCCCCCTTTTCCTGTCCTTTAGTTCCAGAATTCTGTCCATCAAAATTAAAATTCTCCCATGTTTATTATATTTTTTCCAATGTGTTCCAGTAGAAGTACCCCAGAAATAATTTTTAAATTGGGATGGATTAATATATTGTTTTTTTATAGAGGGGGAGAAAACAGAGATAGGTGTAAAATTCAGAATGAGCCTTCTCTGCATTTATGATTACCCTGGAAAATCAAAATCAAATCAAATTTTATTTGTATAGCACATTTCAGCAGCAAGGCATTTCAAAGAGCTTTACATCATAAACACAAAAACACAAAGTCATGCATCATGGAATAAACAATACATTGTTCCATATTACATTTCAAATAAAACTCTAATCAGGTGTCAGGGTTTCTGCTGTTTTACAGTTTTCTGGAAGTTTGTTCCATATGTTTGGTGCATAGATGCTGAAAGCTGCTTCTCCTCTCTTGGTTATGGTTCTGGGGATGCAGAGCAGAACCAGAACCAGAACCAGAAGACCTGAGAGTCTGGAAGATTGATACAACAACAGCAGATCTTTGATGTATTGTGGTGCTAAACCATTCAGTGATTTATAAACTAACAACAGTATTTTAAAATCTATTCTTTGAGCTACAGGGAGCCAGTGGAGGGACTTTAAAACTGCTGTTATGTCTCTATCTTCCTGGTTTTAGTGAGAACAGGAGCAGCAGCTTCTGGATCAGCTGGAGGATTGATTTGTTGGACAGGCCTGTGAAGACGCTGTTACAATAATCAATGCAACTAAAGATAAACGCATGGATGAGTTTCTCTAGATCTGGCTGAGACATTAGTCCTCTAATCCTGGAGATGTTCTTCAGGTGATAGAAGGCCGACTTTGTAACTGTCTTTATGTGGCTCTGAAGGTTCAAGTCCGAGTCCATCACGACTCCCAGGTTTCAGGCTGATTGCTAGTTTTTAGTTGTAATAACTGAAGCTGTGCATTGACTCTAGATCTATAGCTCTAGATCTATGGCGCTATAGCTCTATAGCTCTAGATCTATAGCTCTATAGCTCTAGATCTATAGCTCTAGATCTAGAGCTATACATCTATAGCTCTATAGCTCTAGATCTATAGCTCTAGATCTATAGCTCTAGATCTGTAGCTCTAGATTGTTCCTTTTTAGGTCCAAAAATCATGACTTCAGTTTTGTTTCTGTTCAGCTGGAGAAAGTTTTGGCACATCCACACATTTATCTGTTCTAGACATTTATTCAGTGATTGGATGGGGTCAAAGGTCACCTGGTGACATCGTAATGTAGAGCTGTGTGTCATCCGCATAGATATGGAAGCTAATATTATTTCCTGTTATAACCTGAGCTAGTGGGAGAATATAAATATTAAATAAGAGGGGTCCTAAGATTGAACCTCGGGGTACCCAACATGTGACCTTTGACCTCTTTGATGAGAAGAAATCCTTGTCCTTTATGTAAGATTCAAACCAGTCGAGCACCGAACCGGAGAGTCCAACCCAACTCTCTAGTCGATTCAGTAATATGTCAAAAGCTGCACTGAGATCCAACAGAACCAGAACCAGCACCGTGGTTCTCCCACAGTCCGTATTTATATGAATATCATTGAATACTTTGACTAGGCCAGTCTCCGTGCTGGTGAGCACGAAAACAGACTGGAAAGTCAAAGCAGTTGGTCATCATGAGGAAACTATTTAATTGTTTACACAGTTTTCAATAACTTTGCTGATGAATGAGAGGTCAAGAGGTCAAGGTCAGTCTGTAATTCTGCAGTAGTGATTTGTCCAGATTGTTCTTTTTTAGAAGTGGTTTGCAGTCTAGTTTCGACCACTAACCTGTCTGTGTTCACCAATCTTCTCAGCAGGATGGAAAGTTATGGGAGGCACAAGTATTGGAAGACATCTAATAACAACCATACTTCAAATAAAAATGATCTATCTCAGATTACTCAGTGCTAGAGTCCCACTAAAGTCATGGCAGGACCACAAAACTTTGCAAATTTGGCAAAAGCTTTGAGTCTTTGAGAAATAAATATGGTCTGGAAAACAAAGAACCTGTAAATTAGACAATGCCGATCTGAGAGTTTCATGTCAGTATTGGTTTTCAATTTGTAAAAGTGTTTTTGTCAATGCTTGAAAGAAAATTATACACTGAATAATACGAGACATTATAATGGCATGCAACTATTTAAACAAGAAGAAAAAGCCTGACCATCAAAAAAATACTCAGAAAATAAACATTTTTTAGAACTAGGAACTTCATGAAGCCTTGAAGCAAAATGTTGCTATGTTATTTATTTTATGATATATTTTTGTATCATATTTGATACAGCAGGCTTTTCTTAGAACTTTGGCTCAGAACAATGTGAGTTTTCAATAAAATTCAATTCAATAACATTTCAAATAAAATTCTAAACAGGTGTGTTTTTAGTTGAGATTTGAAGGAAGTCAGGTTTCTGCTGTTTTTACAGTTTTCTGGAACAAAACCATGTGTCACTTCCCTCCTCTTCTCTTTGGGTTTCCTAAATAAAAATGAAAAAAAAAATACATGTTCCCCATGTATTTTAATTTCTTCAATAAATAGAACAAAATTATAAAAAGAAATTATGTATTGGAGATATGTTTTGTATTTTTTGTGTATTTTTTCCAAATAAAGTGAAAAAAAGCTGTTTTGGGGCAGCATTACATTAAATGTTGCTGCCAATCAAATGTGAATGCATTTGGCAATTGCATCATACTTACCTGGCATTGCACACATCAGAAAAGTGGCAGAGGCTCGGTATGATAAAACCCGGCTCCAGATGGCTAATGAGCAGGAAACAGCCTCCATTTTTGATGAAGGTGGAGAGCTGGTAGTCAAGCACCATCATAGATCATGAGATCTCGAATTACTTCAGTCTCTCAAGCTAATTTTCTTGTTGTGTGAAAAGCGTGGAAATGGATTTGAGTTGAAGGGCGACATGTTGCTACCATCGTTAGCATCATGGGGTGTCCTAAAGACTTTGAATACTCCGTCAAAGGGATGATTGTGTTTGAATTGGCTGTTTAAATTTGATGTGTTAAAGGTTTTGCTGTTTTCCTTTCAATTTTCTGTCACATTTGTTAAACAAAGCCAGAATATTGTCTTTCTCTTATCCTCTAATAAAAAATCTATCCTTCCAACTGCAGTCATTATATGCTCAGTTTTTTTAGGCTGCATTCATATGGTTGGACCTTTCCAGTTTGGGATTTTTTTCTGACCTTCTGTTCATAGTTATGTTTTTGTGAACATCCTTGGGCAATTAATATATTACTTTATACATTGGAAAAATTATGACAGGTTTTCTGTCATAATACAGAAAAACCTGTCATCAGGAATTTTAAAATTACTTGATTCCAGTAAGAAAGTTGTTTTCTCCAATTACATCAACATCACTTGAACTCCAGTAGGTCTCATGCAGGAATGCGAGAGCTTGATTGAAAGAAATTAAAAATACCCTCACCACAGAACACGTTAACTGTGCTACACATTATGATATTGTTATGAAATTGGACAAATAATTATTATGGACCCCTATTGTGCATAATACAATAATATACTTATGTAGGCGCTTACATCAGCTCTTCTGTCTGAGATCAGTTTAACATATACTGTATTTTAAGGACTAAAGCCGCTACTTTTTTCCCACGCTTTGATCCATGCGGCTTGCAGGCCCAGTGTGGCTTTGCTGTGGATTTTTCTTCGACCACCAGAGGCTCTTATTACAGAAATGAATCATTGGAAGTCAAAATTGGAACTCAAAGAAGAAGTACAAGCACATGCTATCAGCAAGCACAATGGAGAAATGTTTTTGAACTCATTCCCCTTCATCATGGAAAACCACATGAAGAAGTTCATATGATGCGCTTTTAATTGAAGGCCAAAGATTTGGCAATACATGAGGGAAATAGAGCCGCTGCATGTAAGCTCAGCGTGAATGTATCTGTGGTTGGCATTGGAGAAGCAGGGCTGCGTCCTTAATAGCAGATTTGTTACGGATGCAGCCCAGTGCAGCTTATATGTATACAGTTCCGTTTTGTTTTGTTTTTTAAACTTTGTGTGTGCCGCTTATATAGTGTGACGCACTCTATAGTTCGGAATATGTGTTGGAATGTGCTACATGTGTTTTTTATTTTATTCAGAAAAAAGGAACATTGGACAATCCCTCCATCTAGGGAAATCCCTCCTAGACGGAGGGATTTCTGTTTAAATTTTGCTAAGAATATGTTGAAGAAATATGGTGCATTTTCTCCTACAGTCCACAAAAGAATTGTGAGATCAATGATGGTGATTCTGGCTTGATAAGGGAAGTGAGAATGGAGAGGAGTTTGTTTAATTGGCTTCTGTAAAGGATTTGCAGACTGTCTATGAGTTATCCTGCCCCTTTCCACTGGCATCTGAAATAGATTGCTGGCTCATAGAGGCAAACTCCATGAAATGACCAGATAGTAGTAATCTGTATGACTCTTATATTAATTCTGAGTAAAGTTTTGAAGTCTTGTAGTGACTGTAGTCCCACAGTCACATATTCTTTAAACAATTACTCACGTGGGGAATATATGATATCAGTATGAGTTTCTAGATGAATGAGGAAAATGTCCTTGAGGAGTGTGCATGTTGGAGAGGTCATTTGCTGCTGCTCGTGTATTCTCTGTTGGTCAGCCACAAATGGTAATTTGAATGACTGTTTGGCATCAGAGGGAGGCA